ATTAAAAATGAGTAAAGTTTATTTTTTCTGATTATAAAAGCGCTAGATACTCATTATAGGCACTTGTGTAATAATACATTAAAGAAAAAAGGAAGCTACTTAAAACTTGACAGAACTATGTCTACCATGGTGAATAATTGGTGTTTCCTTTCTGAACCTCCCTTTCATCAACCCTACCCAACAGACTTATTAAAATTTGTGAAATGAACAAGATTTTCTTACAACATAAAGTTTCTAAATTGCCATAAGAATGAGCATTCTGAATTGATCAACATTCTGAATTGATCAATTTTCTATTTTGTTTTCTACTTGTTTCTGAAATGCCTGAATTTCTATTATGTGATAGAAAATTTAATTGAAAATATAACTAGTGCATGTACAGGTACAAGTACCCAATGATAAATGTAAACATATTGTATACCTAAAATGTACCAATAAAAGAATTTAAGCAAAAAACCCACAACTAGTGAAATGAAATGTGCATTTTGTAGACTTGTCATTTGTGAGTCAGGGAACAAAGGTGCAACCCTAGCAGAAGAGACTGTTTAGGTCTGAGCAGCACAGAGTTAAGTGCCCCATTGATTGAGCCCCATGAAAACACAGACAAACATAAGGATTGTTACACTTAGTGAACACAAAGGTATTTCTAAAAATCTGCTTCATCCTAAAAAGCAATGAATGAATTCCTGATAGCCCCATGGCCCAACTTTAGGCAAAGAAGGGGCTCTGAGGAGAAGAGGAGAAGGTACTGGTAGCAAGCTGTTGCTTTGTAAAGGAACAGATTTTAGTGGTTTGCCTCTTCCCTCCTACTGTCCTTATCTTCTATGTTCTCCCTTGTGGCCCTGGCAGAAAAATCTCCTTTATTTTATTTTAGCCAAAAACTAAATGAACATAAAATGTGAATTGGCCTGAAAGCAAAGGAATTTTCATTAACTACCTCCCTTGCTGCCTCTAGAGAAGTTAGTGGTGAGGAAAGTAGAGGACCTTGAGATTCTAGTTTCCTCTTGTTACCCCTTTGCACCTCCACACCTCTCTTAGTCTGAATTTCTGGAAGAAAAATTAAACCATTTTAGGCTGCTTAGTTGGGTTGTTCTCTAGGTAATCCGTTTACTGCATTACCCCAGTTTCAGAGGGGATGGAATATACCGTTATTGGGCCACGGATTTAGCTCAGTGGCAGTGCACCTGCCTTACAAGTGCAAGGTCCTGCGTTCAATCCCTGGTACCAGGAAAAAAAAAGAATATATCATTATTAAAAATGTATGTGAAGACATTTTGCTTAATTTCCATTCAAATTTTGGTTAGTTTAAAAAAATAAGAAAGGAGCACAGTTAGTGCAGGATAAGTTAAAGCTGTGGAGGGCTAGTAGCTCAGTTTCATAAAAGGGGACTTCTGCTGTCAAGACTTAGTGACCACTTTGCAGGGCTCACCTGTGTGCATTGACGAGATGCTGCACTATTTTCTGCCATCTTTCTGGATTGCTTTTCCACCACTTGGTGCATTTAGCACTTTAGCCTCATATTGTTTTCCTCTAGAAATTGCTGTCTCTTCCCACTCCTACTCTTAATCCTTTGAGCTGTTAGAATTCCTCTTTGAATATTCTCTTGTTACTCTGACTCATCCTCAATAGTTCCTTTGAATTGCTCTCTGAATTTCTTATGCACTGTAGGAGATGCGCACAATTATGTCTGGACAAAGACTGACCCACTCCTTTGGAAAGGAATTTCATTTGCCCTTTGGCTGAATGATGACATTGTGCACGGAATGAACATAGATCGTTTTAGTCAATGAGCATATGAAATCTTCATCGTGTTCTGTTTCACATGCAAGTCTTACCCTACTATAGGCTCTTAAGCCTTACTTGCAGGTGTACAAAATCTCAATGCTTGCTATAATGTCCTCTGGCGACTTCTAGGAGTTTCCGGAGATTCCATTACTTGTCTTGAGGGTCATGTGGACTTGTATTTTTGTTTTGTTTTTGGTACAGCCTCTTTATCGAGCTGCCTGGCAATTGCGTTGTTGCAGGTACTTTCTCGGCAGACGTTCCTCCACTCCTGGCCATGTGCCATCTTCCCAGGGAATGGTGCCTTCGGCTTCTGCCCTTTGAGCTTGAAAACCGGTGCTCGGGGCTGGGAGCAGTGAAATAGGGGTGATGGGGCTTGCCTCTTCCCTCCTAGGGTCTTTATCGTCTGTGTTCTTGTGGTCCTAGCACAGAATCTTCTTCATCTTATTTTAGCCAAAACCCAAATGAACATAAAATCCCTATCAGCTACACAGATGTGTTCCCAAAATAATCACCAGGTGAACGCTCTCCAAGAAGTGATATTCAGGCAGAAAACTAGCAACATTAAGTCTCACAATACATTTAAATATACAAGGGCTGATCAAAACTTGCAGTATGTTTAAAAAATTATTACAGTAAAAGACACATTCCATTATTCTCCCCCCAAATACTCCTTGCTTTGTAATATACTTATCCCAAAATACCACACACACAAAACACCCCACTTTGTATTGCCCTTGTCATTTTCTGAAGTTGTTCTGGAATTTTTGTTTTATGAGTGTCTTCACAAGACGTGATCAAAGATAGAGTGAATACTGCTTCCCAGTGCCAGAGGCAGGTTTGCAAAAACAATACAGTGTGTCATCTACTTCATTTGCCAGATCTGGCACTGTGGGACTTTTGGCTTTTTCCCAAAGTCAAAATGGTCACGAAAGGTAAGTGTTTTGAATTAATTCAAGACATTGAAGCAGTCATAACAGCACAACTAGACACTTATGAGGCTTTTATTATAATATGTTTTTAAAAACTTTACCACATTTCTTGATCATACCTCATAAATACCATTTTTCAAGAGGAGGTAAAAATGTGTCTCAAATACTACTCATGTAAAATATTTTCAAATAAACACGTAATGAACCCACTTAAAAAGTAACTAGAGGCAAGAATTCTGAAGTATTTTATTTAAATACTGAAGGAATTCATCTTTTTAAAATATATTTTTAATTGGCATGTGGTAATGGGTGTGCAGTGTGACATCTCAATATGTATGTAGGATGCAGAATGATCAGATCAGGGAATGACATATGTATCGGCCTAGGCGATTACCATTTCTTTGTATTGGGAAGATTTAAAATTCTCTCTACTAGCTATTTTGAAACATCCAATTAATTAACTGTCATAGATCCTAGTTTGGAATTGAACATTAAAGTTATTCCTTCTATCTAACTGTACTCCTGTCTCCGTTAACTAGTCTCTCATCTTCCTATAGTAGGTAAGGGCAAGGAGATTAAACTGCCTTCTCAAGGTCAGGCCACAGTTTATCAGATGAGGATGAGAAAAGCTTGCAGTTTTGCTGACTGCGTTGCAAAGCTGGATTCTGGTGCTTAGCTTCTGATGCACATGCCCCACTACTGCTGCCTTTACTGTCTTAAGAATTATAATCTCTTTAAACCTCTGGAGAAGGGAGAGGGGTGACATCTAATTTCTAGGCTGATCTTCAAATGCTTTTTCCTAAATGGCATATAAGTAAGGTTTGCAAATCATTTTGTAGATAAAGGAAGAATCTTAGTTAACAGCTTACAAACAATTTAAGTAGGTGATTTGGGCCAGATTTATAGTGCAAATATTTTTTTCCTAGCTTTATAATACCAATTACATCTATTTAGTTTGTTTGATTTGTCTTCAAGGCTTCAGGGCTTTTTTACTCTGTCAGAAGAAACTAATAATTAAATCGATTTAAAACAGTAGAAGATCACCACAAAATGCTATACATGAAAAATAAGTCCAGAGTCAGAGAAACCCTTCCACAGGCTGTTCATTTTTGTCAGCCAGACTCTAGCCATCCTGATAAACGGTAAAGGAAAAAGTTCGTAGTTGGCTGAAAATGGCTCTTCTTGAATTCCTTCCTGAAGTTTTCATTTCAGAGCCACTAATTCAAGTGGCATTCAGACTGTGCCACTTTTAGCAGTTTATAGTAATGCCATCAAAGAACATTTGTTTAGTATTTCTCAAAGTAGGGTAAGTGGTGTGTCATATGACTTGCCTGCATTTTTCTCCAATCAGCAGTGGAAATATGATATTATCCTAATATGGCCACTATTTAAAGATCTTCGTAGTACATTTCTCTTAGAACTTAATGTAAGGTACATATTTCTCCAGATAAACTCATCTCATTTCATTCAGTTGACAATTGGAAATTTAAAACTTTTTCCTGTTTCTCTTCTTTTTCTTGACTGCCCAGATGTGCAAGACTAAATTGATGAATTGCAAAAAACTCTTACTTTTCTCATTCGATGATTTCTAATTTGTGTCTCTTTTTGCGATTTTTAAAAATTATAGAATAATTTTTGTAAAGTTTAAAGATGCGCAAAGTTCAGCAATGTATAAAAACAACACAAATAAGAATGAGGACGTAGCTTGGTGGTAAAGTGCTTGTCTACTATGTGTGAGGCCTTGGGTTTGACCCTCAGTACTGCAAAGAAAAAAAATAAGGCAAAGTATCATAAAAACAAAAGCCACAAATATTATCTATAGTTATGTCATCCTAAAATAACTACCATCAACACTGGGGTATTTCTGGACTTTCCCCCACTTACATAATAAGTATGTTTACACATAAACTAGTGCTATAGCTGATGTATTTTGCAGATTGCTTTTTCACTTAGCTATATGCCATGATCATGCCAAAAAATATAGCCATGATTAAGGGTTGCATACTTTTCCATTGCATGGGTGTATGATCATCATTTAGTAGTCTATATTAGTCCTTACTAGTGTCTGCAGATTATTTTTAATTTTAAAATTATAAATGTTCTCATTTAACTGTCTTTTTACAGCACACCTTTAAAAGTGTCTTTAAAAATTGACAATGAATAAATGAATGAATAAAATATTAGAGCATATCCTGAATGCCTACAACTATAATTAGCATGCATTAGCATCATCATGTGTTCTCTGTGATGTTGTTTTTGAGCGAAGCATTCTTGTTCACTGTCCAGATCGCAAGCAAAATGAGTGAAACTCCTTCTACTAGTTTTTCCATGATTCACCCGACTTCTTCTGAAGGTCAAGTTTCTTTTCCTCGCCATTTAAGCGTCACTCATCCTGTCGTGGCCAAACGGATCAGCTTCTACAAGAGTGGAGACCCCCAATTCAGCGGAGTCACGGTCGTGGTCAATCCTCGCTCTTTTAAGACCTTTGATGCTTTGCTGGACAACTTGTCGCGTAAGGTGCCCCTGCCTTTTGGGGTGCGGAACATCAGCACCCCTCAGGGAAGGCACAGCATCACGAGGCTGGAGGACCTGGAGGACGGCGAGTCCTACCTGTGCTCCCATAGTAAGAAGGTGCAGCCGCTGGATCTGGACAAAGTGCGCAGGCGCCGGCCGCCCTGGCTCAGCAGCCCCGCTCTGAGAGCTCGCGCGCCCCGCTCTTCTGCAGTCGCGGCCTCTCCCGCGCCTTGTCCCCCGCGGAGCCTCGTGGTCTTCAGGAATGGCGACCCGAAGACGAGGCGCGCGGTGCTTCTCAGCAGGAAGGTCACCCAGAGCTTCGAGGCCTTTTTGCAGCACCTGACAGAGGTCATGCAGTACCCAGTGGGCAAACTGTATGCTACAGATGGAAGGAAGGTGAGTGTTCCGGGGGCTCCTCCAGGCTGAGCTCAGTTCGGTGTCTCCAAGAGGCTGCCTTCCTAGCCAGCTGTGTCCGCCGGGACCCTTACCCCCAGATCGTGGGTGGGGACTTGGCCACAGCTGCAGACTTTGGTGAGCAACGTTACGTACCTTTAAGTACTTCTTTAGTTATGCCAGAAGACCAGCCTGGCTTTCTTTAGCGGTATATAGGCGTAATAAATGTTTGTATTTCCAGCTTTTTGGCGTACATCATTAGTACCTAAGAAAATGCTTGACGATGATCTCTGTCAAGCCTGGGAGGTTATTAAATTGATTCAGTCAAAATTATAAAATCACGTGGAAAGAACAAACTTTGCTCATGTAAGGACTATGATTCTTTGGCTTCTTCTAGGTTCCCAGTCTCCAGGCAGTGATCCTGAGCTCTGGAGCAGTGGTGGCAGCAGGAAGGGAGCCATTTAAACCAGGAAGTTATGACATCCAAAAGTTCTTGCTTCCTGCTAGATTACTAGGGATCTCTCATCGTGGGCACCGGAAGGGAAACGCTAAAGCAGAAAACAAAAAGAGTAAGTAATTTATAAATACATAGGATTTAGTTTTAGTCTTCATTATTTTTGCCTCAGCAACAAAAAATTTATGCTTAAATGACTATTTTCATTAACACAGAAAGTATGAGAGGTTTACAATATTCTAAAATGAAATTAGTTATAGTTGGAAAGAGTCATAGAGATTATCTGATAATTTAAAAAGATTTTTTCCAAGTCACTTAATGATGTAACTGTTTAAATTGATAAGTTATACTGTCTTTACTTTTTTTTTTTTTGGATAAAATACCTAGTTAAATCAAAATGCCAGAATCTCCTGCTTTGGAGAGGCATTTTAGGGAGTATGGTAGTTGCAGAATTTTCTCCAGCATTCTTAGCTGAGTCAACGGATTAGTGGAGTTACTATATTTTTTGAAATCTAACTGTATTTTCTACCTTCTGAAGTTATTCTATTCCTGAAAAAAATCACAGATGGTCTTTAGAACCATAGTATTATTTATTAAATAAAAGTTTGGAGTCAGGCATTGTGGTACATGCTTGTAATCCCAGCACTTTGGGAGGCTAAAGCAGGAAGATCACAAGTTTGAGTCCTGCTGGGGAAACTTAACTAGACCCTGTCTCAGAAAAAAAAAAAAAAAAAAAAAAAAAAGAAAAAGTTAATGCAACCAATTCATGCTGGTTAGCAATAATCTAGGTCAGCAATGGTGAAACTTTTAGAGACCTAAAGTCTTTAACAAGTCTCTAAAGTGCCTAAACTGCAATTCAAAACTCATTTATCGCAAAGGGCCAATATGGCACTTAAACCTGAATACTGAGCTGCTGGGGCGATGCTGGGGTGACTTGGCTCATGTGCTGACACAGAGGGCTCTGTCTGCCCACTGTGGCATGTATGCCATAGGTTCTCTACTGCTGATCTAGGTTGTCAGTTCCTTAGGATCTAGTAAACAGTGTGGCTTTGTCCTTTGGGTAGGGAAAGAAGAGGGCCTTTAGGCCCAAGCGTATGGGGTTTTTGATTGTGTTCAGTATTTCCAGGGGACTTTTAACTCTTTGCTAAGGTACTGATTGGCATATATAGTTGAATTTGGATTTCCACTCTTTTTTAGACATGGAATATATGCATTTTAAGAAATCCTAATCGCTCTACTTATTGCTAATGTAGATAAATCTTATTTATTGTCATTAAATTATTTCGTGGCTATACACAGTAGGTAATTATAATGCTATGTTGTAGGCATTAGACTGTCAAATATATGACTATATTATGCATATGGTGGTATACTATATTTCACATTTGTTGTTTTACTTTATTATTTTGTGTCTGATAGAATTTTGATGACTTCAGGGAATGTGAGAGTTTGTTAAATTTTACTTCAAAAAGTTATGTGAAGGATTTTAATTTATAATTTTGGCAAAAGTATACCAAGAGTAATAAAAATATTTTTAGATTAGTACTGTGAAACATTAAAAGTGATTACTTGGTGGTGAGCATGTGCAAGTCTATGACGATGTGACTGAACTTAAGAAAGGAGTGACAAGTTTAATGATAAGGGTACACATCAAAATTAATATCCAGACCTGTGTTCTTTTTAGGTCATATAGTAAGTCGACTGCACTGATGAGACAAAGTGAATTCTAAAATTAATTATTATTTGATTAATTCAGTCCTAAGTACTCAAAATGTTTCTACTTTCCTAAAATTATGAGTGCTTTTCTGGTATATACGCAGGTAAGATACCACAGCATACTATCACTTTCTTTGTTTAGATAAGCAGTACTGGGTTAGACTCTAGTTTTAATACTGGTAAGCAAAATAAAAAAAGCCTACAAAACTCTTTTATCAATAGAATACTTAGTAATTTTCACTTTCTATGTTTCTTACTAAAATTACCTAATTAAAATAGTTAAAATTAAAATTCAGTTAATCATAGAAGTAGATTTACAGGTTTTTTTTTATAAGAGAAGTACAAAGAAATTCTATATATACTTAGTATACTACATTGAGTATACTACGGTGAGTTTTCTCAAACTGCCATTGAATACATAGAGTTTAGAAAACTATCAATAACATTGTACTGTGAAATACAGAGAATATAGTATTTTTGTACTAATTCTTTTCTTCTTTTTTCTTTGCTGCCTCTTCCATTGGATATTTATAACTTCTCCACCTCTGCTTGTATTTTGTGGTGGGCATCTTGGACTCGTAAAATCTTGAAAGTGAGCACGCATATACCCTTAATCTCAAGATCCCAGATTTATTCTCTTTCTTCTGATAAAACACATGATTCTTATTCAGACTATTCTTTTGCTCCTGAAAATTACTTGACCTTAGAAAAACGTAATTCTCAGAACTTATCAGTATATCCTTCTGAAGATGATATTGAGAAATCAGTTACTTTTAATCAAGATGGTACTATGACAGTTGAGGTGAAAGTTCGATTCAAAATAAAAGGAAAGGAAACTATAAAGTGGACAACCACTGTCAATAGACCAGGTCTTTTAAATAATGATGAAAAGAGTGAGATAAGCAGTATTCCGGGAAGGACAGATGATCGATCATCCAGTTTGAAGCTTGCTGCATGTTCATTGTCTGAGGATGTCTCAGGCAGTAATCGAGAGGGCAGTTTGGCAGAGGAAATAAAAACTCAAATAACAGATCAAGATAATGAAACTTGGAGTACTGCTAGTTGGGATAATCCTGCTATGGACACAGATATCATTAAGGGAACTCAGGCTCAAGTGAAGCATCGTTTTTATAGGCCCCCTACACCCGGACCAAGGGGAGTGAGACAAAAGAAATCTGTGATGCGGAGTGTGACCTTAGTATCTGAAACAGAAGTCCAGGAGAAACAGTTTTCCTATAGTGAGAAAAGGGAAGGCAGGGAAAACAAATCAGAGTATCATATGTTTGCACATTCTTGTAGTAAAATGTCATCATTATCTAACAAACCTGTACTTGTTCAGATCAATAACAATGAGCAGATGGAATCACCCTTAGAAGGAATAAAGGAGAGCAAACTCCTCAGGTCAAGTGCAGTGAGTGCTGGTGTGATAGAAATTACAAGTCAGAAGATGGTAACGATGTCCCATAATAATGACTTACCATCAGCTATATCTGAGAACTCAATTGTGGAGAAAGGTGTAGTTGATAGTGTCATACCAGACAATAAAACTGATGATATCAAGAACTTCAGAACTTACGATAATACAAATGATAGGTTCAGTCCTGTTTCAGCAGAGGCAAGTCATTCTTCAAGTAACAATTCTGTAACTGACAAAAATATTTCTGAGACTCCAGCTTCAGTAGGATCCTCTACTATAACCACAAGAATTGATAGACTAACTAATGAATTTGCACAGTGTGGTTTAATAGAACCTCCAGAGCATGAAAAGCAGATCTTGTCACCTGTTGCCAGCAAAAAGAAGAAGAAATCACAGCAGCAAATGATCAACTCAAGGTATCAAGATGCAGAGATTGTAACCAAAAGAATCTCTAAGGAGAGTAACAGAATAAACACAGGAGGTACAATTGCACAGGAAACCATATCACAAGATTCAGACTGTTCCCTTAAAGGAAGGATACTTTGTGAGGAAGACCTACATACAATTGGTATGGTAATTAAATCAAATCATTTTAGTACCAAAAGTAATCTCAGTCCCACAGTTTCCAAGAATTTCCGTAGACATAAATTAAATGGTATTCAGAATCTTAAGGTTCAAGGATTTGTAAGCAAAAGAAAACCCGGTCCAGTAAAGAAAATAAGCTTAGGAGCTTCTGAAAAAGGAGAAAGTAGTCAAGGAGATAAAGTACTTCCCCATTATGAATCTAAGTATTACAAAAAGACTTCAGAAAATCAAAGTTTATTCCATATGTTTAACTTGTGTGAGCAAAAACAAAGAGCTTTTTCTAGACCACAATCTCAAGCAGAAATGGCATCTAGGAATTTGATAGGAATGGCAAAAATGAGCTTAGTTCCAAAATTTAGTGATTCACATGTAACTTTAAAAAGCCAGAAAAAACAAAAAGAGAATAAACTGAAGTCAGGAGTTTTTGTAAGTAAACAATATACTAAAACCAGGGAAAATTCTTTAGCTTCTTTGAAAAAAGCTGCTTTTTCTGAGGATATGGCCCATCATTCAGAAAATCATATAGAGAGATGGTTACAGAACATAAATCCATATCCAACTTTAATACCTAGAAAGTCAGCTGTAAGACAGAAAAATAAAAGGACTGTGGCAAGTTATAACAATAGTGGTTTTCTAGGATCTAATCTCCATAAAAATTCTGTAAAAGGAAATAATTTTGTTATAGAAAGTAGTAAGCACATAACTAAAAGTGCCAATTTGACAGGAGATAATCTATGTAAAGGAAGGGGCAAATCTCTTAATGGTGAAGAATTTCACAAAGATCTCTATGAGAGCCAAGTTGGGTCTCTGAAGTCTCTGAATGGTGCTTGCTTAGTTTCCCTGCATGAATATTGTACTTTGTCACCATCAGCTATTAATGATCATAATACTGAAAGTCAGATATCCTCTGAAAAGTCAGGACCAGAGGTAAGCCTTGTTCACCATGAAATAAACCTAGCTACAAAAGGGCAAAGTGTAGAGGCTGCTGTTCAAGTAGATCTCGTGGAAGAGAATACTTCCAAAGACCTTGTACCAGTTCTGTTGCTTCAACAACTGCAAGCTTCAATTTCCAGCATTCACGAACCTCAGAATGGAGCTGTTCAAATGCCAGGGTTGCTTGTAGACATTCCCTTCTCTTCCGTGATATGCAATTCATCTGCTGATCTCCTTCTTGCTTGGCTCTTGGTGTTAAATCTAAAGGGAAGTATGAGTAGCTTCTGTCAGGGTGATGCTCATAAGATTACCAATAGTTCTTCAGAACTACTTACATTGTGGGAGGTACTAAGGCACATTGCCATCACAGAGGAAGCTGATGACTTGAAAGCTGCTGTTGCCAGTTTGGTGGACTCCACTACAAATTGCATTGAACCCAGTGAAAAAGAACATGATATGGTTCCAGTAGGCCTTTCTGAAAAGTGCAGCGCAGTCAACATTCAGAAAGCTCCAGACTGCAGTGAAATTGAAAGAATACAGAAAATCTCTTTGGATGGAGGCTACTCTGCCTGTGAGGCCTGTGGTTCTGAAATTCGTGTTTCAAATACTTGTTCTCCATATGAGATGTGCACTGTGAATAAGACTTACCCTCAAAAAGGCTTACATAACCCCAGTGATGCTTTTTCCCCTGTTGACTGTGTCATAAATAAGACTTCTATGAATAAGGCTTGTTTCCTGGGAGAAGTCTTTTCATTTACTGATGCTGTGCCTTCCCATGAGGCTTGTGTGCAAAAGGAGAACCATACTTATGAAGTAGCTTGCCCAACTGATGAAACTCATGTTACCACGAGAGTCTGCAATAACACTGACTCTTTAAATTGCAGAGAAAACAAATGTATTTATAACTTGGAATTTATTGAAGAGTTCAAAAGAATTGATGAAATTCAGAAAGGCCTAAATATCTTGGCAGATCCTGGGTATAAAAATGAATGTAATACATCAGCGTTACAACCAAATGTCTGTAATTTAAGTCCTGGTGGCATTTGCCTAAGTAAAAGTGATCTGGAATTTGATACAAAACACAGCTCTCTACGTGAGTTTAAAAGTGAACCATTAAAGAGATTTCAGGATAAAAATACATATTCTTCTTTTGATAAAGAAGAATCAAGGACTTCTGAAGAACCAGGATCAATAACCAACAGCATGACATCAAATGAAAGAAATAATATATCCGAATTGGAATCTTTGGAAGAATTAGAAAATCAAGACAATGATATCTGTAATACAATGGTAAACTTATGTGAGCAAGCCACTGAAGAATCACTCACAGAAGAGCTAGAGACTAGTAGCAATTTGAAATTGATAGACATATCTAGTGGGAATATTATAGAAGAAGAAAGAAAGAATGGTATAATTTCTGAGACAATCAATAGGAGGCAGGTGACACCACCATCTTTAGTTTTTTGCTATGATTCTAATCCAAATGCCGAAAAGGAGATCAATTCAAGAGAAAGTAAGGTGAGAATTAAAACGATGGTGAAAAACATGGAAATGGGAAGTTATTCAGAGTCTTCGCATGATTTTAAAAAATGTTTCAAAAGTCCAGTGACTTCTGACTGGCCAGATTGTAGACCAGACAGTGAGAGTGAGCAGCAGTGTAAAACTTCCAGTGATGACCACAGTGACAGTGGTGACAGTGGCCAAGAGAAAGAACATAATAAAGGATTTGTTAAAAGGGCAATAGAAAAGCTTTATGGCAAAGTGGAGATTGTTAAACCATTTTTTTTTTCTGGATCTATACACAGTTCTCAAGTTTGTCCTTACAGTTCTGTGGAATTTCCGGGTGCTAGGAAATCAAGTTTTTATGATTCTGAAGGTCAATCATTTGGTTCTTTTGAACAGGTATCTAATATTTCACCTATGTTACAGGAATTCCAGGAGGAAAAGCAAAGTAAATGTGATGTTAATGGTGTGAGGGACAGTTATCATGGGGATGAAATTGTAGAACATGGTACAAAACAAAGTGATCGTAATAGGACGACCCTTAGAGAAGAAGAGGAAGGAGAACTGATTGACAAAGGCAAATGGCTACTGAGAAAAAATCATTTGCTAAGGGTGTCATCTGAAAATCCTGGCATGTATGGCAATGCAGACACCACATCAGTGGATACCCTCCTTGGTAATAACGGGAATGAGGTGTCATATTCACATTTTGGGAATTTGGCTCCAGGCCCAACTATGGCTGAATTATCGTCTTCAGAACTGGAGGAACTGACTCAACCCCTTGAACTGAAATGCAATTACTTTAACTTGCCTCATGGCAGTGACTCTGAACCTTTCTTTGGGGATTTGCTAGATGTTCAGAATAAAACCTGTGCCAAGGAAAGAATACCAAATCATTATACAGAGGGTAAAGGTAATCAGTCAGAAAGAGTATGCTCAACTGTTACTCATGCTTTTACATCTGGTGCTAACAAAGTCCACCCTGTCTCTGATGATACTATTAAAACCCAACCGTTACCTGGGAGCAGTATGACTCATGGTGCACTTCAGGAAGGTGACTCTTTGGATAAACTTTATGCTCTTTGTGGTCAACATTGCCCAATACTAACTGTTATTATCCAACCTGTGAATGAAGAAAACCGAGGATTTGTTTACCGGAAAGATTCGGATATTGAAAATGCCTTGGGTTTCCATTTATGGATGAGGATATACCCACATTTTCTATTGTCAAATAAAAACATGTTCAGGAATAAGGACAATAAAGCAAGTAAGAGAAAAGAATTTGTTGATAATGCCATTGGTGATTCATTTGATCAGCTTTATTTCAATAACATGTTTGGCTTGACAGATAAGAGCTTGGACTTAGAGGAAAAAAGTAATTTGAAGAAATTTCAGTCGTATTTAAAGCAAAGGGTTTGTGTGAATTTCTTGCACAAACTTTTGTTTGTTGTGAGCGATATGAATTCAAATACAGAAAACCTCAGCAGTTGGACAGATGATATCTTTAAAACAGTTGATGAGAATAACAACTTACTAGTTAACAGATTCCAGAACTTAACAACAAATCTCAAGCATATAGTAAGAGAAAATATCAATTGTCATTTCTCCTTCAAAATACTTGGTCAAACCTGCCTATTAGATATTTGCCAAGTTGGAACATCCTTAAGTATTAGCAAAAGAAAAATATTAGAAATATATTATGTTTTTGAGGGTGAAAATATTTTCATTTGGGAAGAAGAAAACCAATTACATTTTACTGATCTTGAAAGCAACAATGAGCAAGGTGATTTATAATTTTAATATTAGCAAACCCTTCTCTGTTAATACAATTTTTTCCATAATAAGATAAAGCACTTGGGATAGATATATTCAGTACATAACTTCCAAGAATTTTCTGCTCTTTCAAAATGGGCTTAACCTAGAAAGCTTACCTTTGGATAAATAATTGACTTTCATCATACCTCTGTTCTTTATTTTTTCCAATAATTACTCTGTATGGGTTCGTCCTGAATTTATATATATACATTTTTTGCCCAGGGCATCAAAAATATACCTTGGATAAGAATTATATCTTTTTTCTGTTTTTATATTATCAGCTTTATGTAAATTTATATTGAAGTGCTGATGAATAAATGGAGTAGATAAAGCCTTAAAATATTTCATTTATTAGTTCTAAGTGCGGATTGATAAAAAGATGATCACCAAATGTGCCAAAGTGTTGATTTGAGTTCCCTCAGAATACATATCTGATTAAGTTGCAAGTATTTGCATGGGGGAGGGTTACCATTTTCTCATGAAAAAGATGCTTCACCACTAAGTTGCCTCTGCAGTACTTTTCAGAGAAATTGTTATCTTTTAAATATTAGTAAAATGTCAGGAAATCTGAAAAGGTCATAAAAAAATGGAAAAAAAATTAAGGAATTCTCTGTGAAGGAAAATTAAAGGAGGTGGGATAATTTCTCGTGGAAAAGAAGAATGATGACTTTAAAATTCTCTTGAAATGGAAAGAGTTGCTATGAAGAACTTGAACAGATTTGTTTGTATGTTTATCTGCTTTACTAAAACACTTAAATGTATATAAATAAAATCATACAATTATCTGGAAGCATAAATTTGATTAAATCTTAAATTATTGATTGTATATTGCCTGAGTGTTAACTAGGAAACATTTTAAGATACCTTCCATTCCATGACTGTATGATAGAAATAAATCTTATAAAACTTGGAAATCTAGTCTGTTCTCTAGAACTGACTCAAAGTAGAATACTGTACTTAATGTTCTTGGATCAGCACATGGAGGTGCCAAAATAACATAACTTGAGCATTGAAGAATTAATGTAATTACATAAAGAATAACTTTGGATTCAGTTTAGCATGAATAATAAATCCATAAAATTTATGAATTGCTACTTTACCAGGTAAAGACTACTAGAATGTGCTTTAATTACATTAAGTGATGCCCTTTTCTAATCAAAATACAGGGGGTTTAAGGGTGCAATCTTCTGTAGTGATCAGGGAGAAATTGTAGTGAAATAGAAAGGGATTAGTTTTGGAGAAATAACAGTAGAGAAGAATTAACACCAATTTTGTGCTGGTTATATACTAGGGACTATGTAAGATTACAGATTTATTATATGAAATACTTTCTCATAAAAACAGTGTGTTTGGTTTTATTACTCCTTTTTTTTCAATATAAGGACTTAGGTTGATACATGACTTTAATAGTCATGTATCAAGATGTCATGTCAACAACAATATGCTGCATACAAGAAGCACACTTAATTCAAAAGGAAACTCATAGACTGAAAGTTAAAGGGTGGAAAACAATATTCCATGCAACAGGAACCTGAAAAAAAGCAGGAGTAGCTATC